TTAACTTGATTTCATCTGTATGCAAATGTTGGGGGTGGAGATGGGGTGGGGAGGAAATAAGGTACAAATATATGATTTTTTCACTACCTATTTCCCCATCCTATATACAGCCAGCCTAAGTCTCTCAGTACAGACTAATCAGGAACGAGGGTGTGTCTGAGTAATAAAGTGATGCTAGTTCTTAGTACAAATATCAACAAAGACCATTCCAGAGCCCTCTGGGACTCCTGTAAAGACAAAAAGTCAATACTTATTAGTTGTATATAAATTTTTGAGAGTAAAGATTGTATATCTTGTATTTGTATTTGTATCCCCCATGCCTAGAACAGTGCATGTTCTAGACACAGTAGGTGCTCTGTAAATGCTTGTTGATATATTATAGGTGTGTACATACATGCACATATAGCTTTTGAGTTAGCATATGATTTCAGAAATATTATGGCACAGTGTATAGCAGACTGGCTTCAGAATCAAGAAGAACTGGGTTCAAGTCCTGCTTCTGACATATTTGGTTGTGTGATCAAGTCACTTAACCCCTTCTGTACCAGGCAGCTAAGACCATAGGTTGTACAACCGTTGCCTATCTATACTGGTAGGGTGAGTTTCCTCACCAGAATTCCCTACACCAGTAAAATCACAGGTCTAGACCAAAAAACAAAGTGTGTGGTGCACCAGACACCCTGCTTTCAGATGCCAGGAAGGTCAAGGACTTCCAAGGCACAGACCTCTAAGCCACAGCCAGACAGACCTCTACAGAAGCTTGAAGTCTGTCTGGGGATTCTTTACTTATTCTTCCTCCTTTTCCTCTTTCCTCCCCCTAGGATCATGGGTTCTTAACCTTTTCTATGTCATGGGCCCCTTGGGCATTCTAGTGAAGCCTATGGACTTCTCAGAATAATGTTTTTAAATGTATCGATACATAGAATTATAAGGGAAGCTAATTGTGTTGAAATTCAGTTATCAAATTTTTTTTTTTTAGTTCAGGACCCCAGGTTAATTCAATTCAAATCAAATCAGTTAAGTTCTAGCACTGGAGATGTAAGGACAAAAACAAAACAATTCCTGCCCTCAAGGAACTTACTTGCCCTCTACTTGGAGGAAAGGATCATACCATATGCCATATATACAGATAAGCAAAATACAAAGTAAGGAGTCAAGAGTATCAGAAAAAAATCAGATCAGACAAAGTCATCTAGGAATATTTGGGGGAGGGGGAGCACTAACAGCTGGAGGACTCACTGAAGGCTTCACAGAGGACATGTACTGGGCTCCAATCTTTCAACAAATCCTTGATACAGAGTTGACTGGTAACTATGGAGTTGAGTGTTTACACTTGGGGAAGCTGTGATCCCTTGCAAATAGGCAGCACTCCTCATGATGCTCTTAATGACAGCCGTCAAGGCCCAAAGAGACCGAACTACTTTTCTACCTACCAAAAAGGCAGACCCGTCCCTCACCAGAGTACGAGTTCAATTTAAGGTTGTTCAAACCATTTCACAGGACTTTCCCTCTACAATACACATGCTACTATGTGTCTATTCTACTACATTCGTCTACGTGTCTGTATGTGTGTTTCTGCTGTGCTTAAAATCACCTGACTGACCAAAAGGTACAGAGAATATGTACAAGACCCCACTGTGTGTTTAACTATAAAACCAGCATTTAAGTCCCTTAAAAAAGCAAATACCCCTTAAAGACTCTTCTCCAATCAGATGTCTCATTGCATTTACCAAAATCATCCAAGATACCTTGAAAGATAAAACAATAGGGGTGTCTTTGATTTCCCTCATTACTAATGTCAAGTAGGCATACAACAAGGAGAGATATGATTACCAAAGGCATCCAGCACTTTCAAGGAGATCTAGTGCAGAGTCCAAGTCAGAAAGGAACTCCCTGTGGATGGTGAGGTCCTCCAGGTATTATTTGTGGATGACCTTGTACTGATTGTGTGGAGCCCAGGAAAACTGAAGGAACTTCTCAATGAGATCCACGATTATTCAAAAGAAATTAGCCCAACTATCCATGCAGGAAAGACCAAGTGAATAAAAAATACTTACTGGCAAAAGTATGAATAGT